TCCCCTCCTTGAGGAGGGATAAAACGCGCACTTCGCACGATGTATCAGCTCAATCACTTCCCCATATACAGATCATTATAAATTTTGTCGCAGAACGCCATGACACGTCGCCCGTCCGCCTATTCTACGTTGAATCTCGCCAATAAGCAAACATTGTGCAGGAAGGCAGCCACAGAGCCATCATGGACACAGTCTCAGCTCACTCAGTAGGCCACACAAGAGTTTCAAACCCACGTAAAGCGCTCCACCCTCCAAAGCATTCTAAAGCGCAAGAGGGACTACGAAGACGTCCCGAATGCTCACTCTCTCCGCAAAAGGTTTTGCACGGCTTCGCAGCGCTCGTCCGACGAGTGTCGTCTCATAACGACGAACCTGTTGAGTTAACTAATGTCGTTGTTCACTAGCTTTCTCCCAATACAACCGCTGCCTTGCAGTCAATTGACCAAGGGATTATTAAAAGTCTCAAGGACCACTACTGTACAAAGAAGCAGGAGGCCAAGCTGGACATGTTTTACAAAGGCGAGAAGTATACCCCCGTCAATATTTTTACAGCGATGAAGTGGTGCTCAGAAGGTTGGCCATATTGTGTCGAAGATGTAATTGAGATTTGTACTTAATTAAGGTAATACAAAGAAGTACATTTGGATTCCATCTGTTCCTCTATATATATTCGCAGCTCGTAGACTCTATATGGCGCAGCGGTCGTTGATATTAACGTTATGTACAGGACACGCATCGCACTTTAGATAGTTGTGCCTACCGTCTTACCCCGCATATAAGGCATATGTGCTGTAAATGAATACAACACTGCTTGTGTGTTATATTCGTTTAGAAAGCCTATGTGTTGTACAACGAACAAATTGTTTGACTTTGAAGAAGCAAGTTTGTGGATCCTGGAATCTGGCTTGGCCGTTTAGGCTTGACCCTCCTACGCGATCGGCGTGGGTTTAAACCCGCGTCACATGATGTTGTGATTGGTAGCGGGTCTTTTCTTTCTGTTGTGGCTACGGAGGTTCGCGCCTTTCCGATAGTCTGCTAGAACAGCGAGTATCTCGTGGATACTATAGCTACGTCGCTCAGCACTCATGGCTGTGTAAATTATAAAATAGGAGAATTAAAGCCAAGTAACAGCAGCACCGACAAGTTTGTTCAGAAGGGTGGTTGGTTGGGAGCTCTCAAGAATATTCAATGTTTGGTACAGCCTTGTGTTTTAAGTAGGCTTCAGCCACGTGTGTTCTAATTAGGTAGGTGGTCAAATCGAGGTTCAAGCTAGATGTCGAGCGAATCCCGTATTTTATTTAGAACACATATCCAATTTGCAGGACCTGGGACCAAACATAAGTGGTATGATGACGAGCTCGTTTACTGTGTGATGACGAGCTCGTCATCACACAGCTGATGTTTGTTTCTGTAAGTAACCAATTGGTTAAATGTATGTTTATCTACTTGCGTCTAGTGGCTTACGCTCAGGCAGTCCGTAATTATTCGATCAAGGTTTTTGGGGGGATCACTGCTCTTTGAAGACCTCTCGTGCGTTGGTGAGAGAGCCTACCAAATCTAAGTGCGGAGGTGTAGAGTACATGTATTGTACCAGATGACAGCGTCGACACAGCAGCGACCAACACCGACAACCGGGCCGACACTAGCAGCGACCGTCACGAGGAGCGACACTGGATCAAGCTGCGTCAATAGTAGGACTGCACAATCAGCTACGTCAGCAGCGGCACCAACTTACATAATCTGCGGCGTAAGTAGCGGTCATGCTTAAACAAAGGGGGAAGACGCTACCGCAGTCCTGTAGTGAAGGACTAGGATGGTAAGCAGTGCTCTTACAATAAAATAAAAAATTGTAATGGGTTTCACAGAAGCACGTAATAATCATTGCAATATACCGATCCACAATAATAAATTATTCAATTATTTTGCTGTATTGCACGGGTCAGGACGGGGCAGTGACCCTATCACGCCACTGGCTTGGGTTCGAAGCAGTGTTGGCTGGTTTTTGGTTTTCGGATTTAATGGTTTTATATGGTTTTGGTGTAGAAAACACCAGTGTAAAACCAGTGCACCTGGAGGTTGGTGGTGATTCACTGGACGGAGTGATCCGGTCTCCACCGTCAAAGTAATACTGATACCACATACAACAAGTCTCTATTTCTGAAATACGCACGCTCGACAAGTGTATTTAGCTATCGCACATCGAACACTACACCGTACCGAAGCATGGGCCACCCATCGTGCCAAGAGCGCGACGAGTTCACAGACTTGCATGAAGACGCCGGTAACAACCGGACATACCACATTTGCAACCACTGCAACAATGCGTATCGTGCTTCGCGGCAGCCAGCTGAGGGTAGTTACCACGCAACACCGCACGAGCCTCCTGTCCCTGAGCCGAAGAGACTTCGAGGGAGTGCCGGAAAACTATAGAAGCCATCTCAAGAGCTGTAAATTCTATCAAGCCTATATTCAAACACGCAACTCTGTGGAAGCTGCTAGCCGTTCTTCCAGCTCAACAGCCTTTCAACCTAATAGCAGTTCGTCTGTTCACGACGATGCGTCCTCGACACGAAGTGAGAAAAGACAGAAGCGTATCGACCAGTTTTTTTCAGGACCATCGCATGACGCGGAGGGAGAGATCTTCATGAGATTACTAGTTGGAATTCAAGCTGATAATCGGCTTCCTGACAGTTTTATTGAGCGCTTATCTACTGTGCGTTTCTGCGTCACGTAAGCAAGATGATCGCTGACATCTTCCCACTACCAACCCGCAAGAAGCTTGGTGGACCCTTTCTAGACGCGTACGCTTTCGACTGCGAGAGCCAAGATAGCACGGCACTTCGTAATGTACAATATGCCAATGAAGGTGCGCGTGAATTTCTTAAGTGATGTTTGGCAGAACATTTCTCGCGCTCACTTGCTTGGTTGCCAATTGGTTCTTTTTGGTTGTGGTATGACATACGCTTTGCTTCCTACGGGACCCAGGCATGACGCTATCGCAATTGCGGAACAAATAAAATGTGTGATGGAAAAGATGCAGAGTGATGGTTGGACAATTGGTGGCGTTGTTACCGATAATGCCGGACAATGCGCGCGGGCACGACGAATTTTAAGTCTACGGTGGCCGCATATCTCATTTCAGATCTGTTTTGCTCATGATCTAAACAATTTAGTCAAGGCAGTTCTAAAGTCAGATTTTTCTGAGGTCACCAAGCAAGCATCAGACGCGGTCAATGCTCTGAATGCGTCTTCCGCAAAGTGGTTAGTCGAAGCAAGGACGTGCATGGTGGATACTTATGGATATTTTCTGAATCTGAAACAATTATGTGAAACCCGTTGGAACAGCATGCATGGATGTTTGCATCGTTGTTGCGCGTTCAAAGTGCGCTTGAGTTACTAGAGTTTAAGTTTCGAGCTGGCGATGATTTTCCTGATGCTGCACGCGTTTTTAGCAGAGGATCATTTTGGGAACGGCTTAAAGACGCTGAAGAGGTGGTGCGTCCGCTTGCATTTGCCTCTTTGAAGTTGCAGCGCGACGAGAACTCGCTCGCGGATGTTGTTGTGTGCTACATGGATATGATCAAAGGATTTTCGGTGCGTCCGTTTGGCACGCGCAACCTTATCAAGCAAGTGGAGCAACGATGGAAACAGTGTGAGCAGCCGCTCATGTTGCTCGCTCTATTTTTACATCCTTTACACACCAATGCCGCTCAAAAGCTGTTAAATAAGACCCCGCTGACAGCGATAGGCTCCCTGTGTCGCATCGGCGTTTACTATTATCGGCGATTCATGGCGCGCGGACCCCGGCAACTTAGGAGAGGATATTTACAAGTGGCTGAAAGGAAAGCTAGCACTTCCACCACAGGGAGGGTTCAGTATCGTCAGTTCGTTCTGGGATTTCATGCGCGATGACATGCCTTTTAGCAAGTTGCCGATACTTCCGATGCAAGTGCTGTCTATTGTGGTCAACACAGCAACATGCGAGCGCTACTTAAGTGAGTTAGCGCTGATTCACACAGCAAAACGAAACAAATGTCGGTGGAGAAGGCTTGCAAAATAGCCGCTGTTCGGAAGAAGGTTCGTGAGTCGGATCAGCTTGATAGCATCTTGAAATCCCAGCGTATTAAAAAGCTGATCAACCCAACAGAGCACCCTCGACGCCAAGACGAGCGATTTGAATGCAACCAAGTCGATACTGAAGACGAGTCAGACGACGAAACAGGAAGTGAGTTGGGGGCGGACGATGCTTTTGAATACTGGGGTGCTGTTCTGGCAGAGCTAGATGGAGATGAAGACGTGCCGCCACCGAATCACAGGGCCGTGGTTGAGATCAGTGAGTTATCTGCCGATCGAGCGTCGTACTGTAGTGATTCTGACAGTAGATCGAGACCAATACTACCGGCAGACCGGGGCAGTGACGAAGCTGAGCGTGCGTTCAGAGACAAGATTATCAAAATTGCGCAGTCGTTCGAGGAAGACATTCAAGAACCTATTAAGGACCCATTTCCTTCTTTTAACGACCGCAATTTTCCACAGCAAAAAGTGCTGACGGGGCTACGTGGTCAGAAGATTTCGTTGGCGGAGCTATGGGATACGTCGGAAGCATTAAGTGAAGATCCAGGTAAATCGTTCGTGACAACACTAACTCGGGTATTTGTGCTAACTCTATGTGATGGTTTAAATGCAGTATGGCATTTTGCGAGCCCGGTGCGCTTCCGCCGAGAGGGGCAGGTTTGATCAACCAGTCGATGAAACGATAAACTATGGTAGGGTCTTTCAGTTGGAGTGCGTTGAGATAAATACACGCAGTACACATTTGTACGAAGTAAATGGAGAGGAACATTTGACTACGAATGCAGCCTGAGCACATAAAACGCAGCGACTTCTGGAAGGTTTAGCGAGTCCCAAACTCAGTAGCCGATCGTCGAGCCGTCTGGACAATGAATGGCGTCTGTAGACAACACAGCATTTATTTGTATATCACCTTCACGCTTTCACTTTTATTAAATATTTTTGAAACGTTCAGCTCACAAACGAAATAAAGAAACCTAGTAGGACAGCATAGCACCAACATATTAAGATAATGAATTAGCTGGTAGTTCGTATGAAATGCAGGAAGTGTGCTCCACTTACATACCAACTCAACAGCGTCATCGGCCTCACCGTCTTCGTCACGATGCTGCCGTCGGCCTCCTGCGACTGGAACACCTCCGTCTGAACCGACTCACCCGGGGCCGCACCGGCCTCCACGGTAAACCGAATAGCGCGGCCACCAGACGTTGACGTCGACAGCGTCGCGAGACCGCTCACCTCCGTCTCCACCGTCGTGGTTTTCTCGCCAGACGTCGTCTCCGTCTCCGTTGTGGTCTCCACCTCGACCGTCCTCACCAGCTCGCCGCTGGCACTCATCGAAGTACGCGTCGTCGTCTTCACCGTCTTCGTCACGATGCTGCCATCGGCCTCCTGCGACTGGAACACCTCCGTCTGAACCGACTCACCCGGGTCTGCACCGGCCTCCACGGTCGACCGAATAGCGCGGCCACCAGACGTCGACGTCGACAGCGTCGCGAGACCGCTCACCTCCATCTCCGTCTCCTCACGCGTCTCCGTCTCCACCGTGGAGCTTTCGCCACGGCCGGCGCTAAGGCTCTAGAGACAAATACGCTCACGCTACCGACAGCAGAAGACTACATCATTGTGGGTCTAGTGGAGCTACCAGGCGACAGCTCGCTCAGTCTTGCAGCAGAGGAGTACGTCGTGTTCAAGAAGATCAGCGTCGTCTCAGCGGACACTGTCATTTCGTCATCATTCTTAAGTACAACAGGTAGCGTAGGAAGTTCTGAATCCAGTGCCATGAACTCGTCCACTTGGTCGACCACAGCTGCCCCCGTAGCCACCACACCGCCGCTAACTTCGTGTGGTAGAGCTTTGTCGCATCTTGAGCGTACCCAACTTGAGTTTTTTTTCGTTTAGCAACATTACATACACAATGCGTACACCATACTAATTGCCAGTAATAACACCAAATAATCATAGTAACGCCACCAAAACTCCAGAAAAAAAAAAAAACAACCATGGTGATTGGTGTTAATGGAGTATTCCACCAGTGGTTTAACCAGCACTGTTCGAAGCCCACTGCTGCAGAGAAGGCTGGTGACTATCATCCAAGCTGGTTTTATTTAGCCAACCAAATATAGCCGGCGACGGCAAGATACGAGCCAGCCTGAGCAGCAGTTTTGTTGGATTCTGATAAAAAAGAAGAAGTCTAAACCTTATTTCGGCAGCGTTGTAGCCCTCAAGTTTCTCATGCGCAAACTACTTTCTAAATATCATCAATGCCAACAAGCGAGGTGAAGCTCCAAAGGTCGCGATTCGCTCGTAGAAACACGAGCATCTCAAAGTTCGCTGGCAGCAGACTTGACCGCCGTGGGGTGAGAATTAGCTTGCACTGTGAAAAGAGGCGCTCACATCGGTTGCTAGTCGGCGGCAGTTGGCTCAACAACTCGTCGTACTTCTGTGCTGACGCGTGGCGAGGCTTCTTGGCTTGTCGGAGTGTGGCTGTAGCGAAATCCCCCTGCTTGGTCGGCCGGGCTAAAGAAGGTTGGACGACCAGAAAGGGCTCCACAGCAGCTTCTTCGTCCGCTTGAAGCCTGCGATCACCCTGAACTTTCACGACGGCCCGCTGAAAGACAAGAAAGTGCACGATACTGGCATCAGCCTTGAGCTTGTTTGCGACTCGTATTGCACAGCTTGCACGTAAAGACACCGTTGCCGCAATCCGTAAAGTGGAAGTTGCACACGCTGCGAGAAGTCGACATGGGCTCGAGAGGTTGGAATGAAGAATGAGAGTAAGTCTGTCCGCTAGCAGACGACTAGCTAGAACCTCCCAGAACCACCAACGTCGCGGCACCTTCCCACCAGTCAACTGTAAAAAAAATCAATACAGTAATTACGGGGACAATTTTATATCTTACGGACTTTTACGAAAGCCAATAATAAATTATTAAATAAATACAATGCTATAATAATTGTATTATATTTATTTTTTCCAAAGCACTGATGGTAAGAAATGTCACTCAATACATCTATTCACTTTGCGACTAGCTTTCAAGCTAAAAAAAACAAAGGAGGCTGGAGAAGTTATCGGGTTGCAGCTTTGGCTGATCGGCTGAATGGACTGGAATACGCCCGTCCTCGCCCGTTAGTTTCACAGATGTCGCCTGTTTAGTGTAACGTAGCTGGTGACTGTTCGATCTATTATACCCTACTGCAAACGATACCGTAAAGCTTACTTAAGAATGCTTCTAGAGCTGGCAGCTTGCACAAAACCAAACTGAAGGGTTGAGAGGAGAAGTGAAAAATAATATAAATATTGAGAGTAAAAAAACTGTGCAAAACAACAGCGATCCCGCAGATAGTGTAATTTAATTAAATATCGTACTTCTGCAGTAATTCCTCGAAATGTTTGCACAAATGGTGCATGTTTCTTATAATAGTCCTTTCGTATTGCGTTTTTCAGCAGCCCGAGATTCACGCTTGCCGAATGAAGCATTTAGCAACGCTATTGACGGCCTACATGTGAGGGAGAAGGATATCTAATCACAGGTATACCGTTAGCATGGACTATGTTGCTTTCCACAGAAATGCAAATTAAAAGGGTTAGCGACGATCTGCCCGACGCAGATTGGTGCAGCCATTTCACTGTCCCGCAAACAGCGGACTCAGTGCTTACCGCGCTCTCGGCTAGGACATTCTCTCCACCTGATGCAAATTCGCTTGGGTTTTCGGGCAGCTGCATACTAGCCAAGAGTTGTTTGTACGTCAAAACTCCCGCCGAAGATTCGATGAGATGACAGTTGGATACTACGGGCAGCCAATGGCTGCCAGCCATGGTCAAGTTGAAGAAAGTCCAAAACCCCATGAAGCTTGCTGTTGATCTAATAAGCTCCCAGACTGTAGTTGAGAAGGTCACCAACTAGATGTACCAAGGGGAGTAACTGAGAGCACTGGCGTGATCAAGGTCGTCATTTTGCTATGGCGAAGTAATCATTTTAAAATACTCGATGTCAATAATGAATTATAAGAGAACAAAGCCGGTGGATTTACTAAATAAACGAGGGAATATAACAAACACTGAATAACACCGTAGCCCATCACCCACAATACGCACGGACAGGGCAACCTGGTGCTCGGCTGCGCACAGCTTTGCACAGGAGATGGATGAGCAGGCAGCGTGCATCATGGTTGGCATTTGTGACACTAATGTGACTACGAAGTGTGGCACCAGTGGATCTTTGAGTGGCTCCTTTCATTGTCCAGAAAGCCCCAGCAGCCCCAGGGTCCTGACCAGCCTGCGCCGTCCAGCGCACACCACAGGGCGATGCCGGGTCTCAGCGCGTC